ACAGCATGTTATCCAGCGATCTAACTAAGATCATTGATGAAGGCGTCTACACTAAACAAGAGATTTTCAATGTAGATGAAACAGTCTTACATTGGAAAAATACGCCGCCTAGGACTTTCATAGCTAGAGAGGAGAAGTCAATGCCTGGCTTCAAAGCTTCAAAGGACAGGCAGTCTCTCTTGTTAGGGGCTAATGCAGCCGGTGACTTAAGTTAAAACCTATGCTCTGTAAATAGAATAACAAAGCCTAAATGACAACCCATTTGTTTATGGCATGGTTTACTGAATGTTCCAAGCCCACTATTGAGACCTACTGATCAGAAAAATAGATTCCCATCAGTATATTACTGCTCATGGACAAAGCAACTGGTCACCCAAGAGCTCTGTTGGAGATGTACCAGGAGATCAATGTTGTTTTCATGCCTGTTAACACAACACTCATTCTGCCACCCACGGATCAGGGAGTCCTTTTGACTTTCAAGTCTTACTATTTAAAGAATACGTTTTGTAAGGCCATAGCTGCCATAGACAATGATTTCCTCTGATGGATCTAGGCAAAGAAAATTGAAAAACTTCTGGAAAGGATTCAGTATTCTAGATGCCATTAAGAAGATTTGTGATTCATGAAAGGTCAAAATGTCAACATCAATGGGAGTTTGGAAGAAGTTGATTTTAACCCTCATGGATGACTTTGAGGGGTTCAAGACTTCAGTGAAGGAAGTAACTGCAAGTGTGGTGGAAATAGCAAAATAACTAGAATTAGAAGTAACGCCTGAAGATGTGACTGAATTGCTGCAATCTTATGATAAAACTTGAATGGATGAAGACTTGCTTCTTTTGAATGAGGAAAGAAAGTGGTTTCTTAAGATGGAATCTACTCCTGGTGAAGATGCTTCGAACATTGTTGAAATAACACAAGATTTAGAATATTACATGAACTTAACTGATAGAGCAGCAGAAGGGCTTGAGAGGATTGATTCACAATTTTGAAAGAGTTTCTTTTGTGGGTAAAATACTGTGAAACAGCATCACATACTACAGAGAATTCTTTCATGAAAGGAAGATTAAAATTGATGCAGCAAGCTTCATTGTTGTCTTATTTTGAGACATTGCTGCAGTGACTCAACCTTCAATGACTACCACCCTGATCCATCAGCAGCCATCAACATCGAGGCAAGACCTGCCCGCAAAAAGATTACGACTCCCTGAAGGCTCAGATGATTGTTAGCATTTTTCAGCAATAAAGTATTTTTAAATTAACATACGTACATTTTTTTTGTACACAGTGCTGTTGCACACTTAATAGACTATGGAAAACCAAAATTTATGTGACTTGCTTTATTGGGATACTTGCTGTATTGCAGTGGTCCGCAGCTGAATCCAAAATATCTTATAGACATCCCAGTATTTGGGAGACTCCCAGATTGGTTTTCAGGTTCTGGGTTCCAGCACTGGTTCTAGCTCTTCTTGATTGGTGCCAGCATCTCAGATGATCTCATCTGTAAAATAGGTCATGTTGGACTTGATGTTTCTCTGGGTTTCTTTCAGTAATATTCTGTGGCTCTAAATTTATGTATTCTATTTTAAATTCCAGGGTACAAGTACAGGATGTGCAGATTTGTTATATAGGTAAACGTGTGCCATGATGATTTGTTGCATCTATCAACCCATCACCTAGGTATTAAGCCCAGTAGGCATTAGTTATTTTTCCTGATACTCTCCCTCCCCCACACTGCCGACTGGCCCGAGTGTTTGTTGTTTCCCTCCCTGTGTCCATGTCTTCTCGTTGTTCAGCTCCCACTTATAAGTGAGAACATGTAGTGTTTGATCTTTTGTTCCTGTGTTAGTTTGCTGAGGATAATGGCTTCCAGCTCCATCCATGTCCCTGCAAAGGGCATGACCTCATTCCTTTTTATGGCTGCATAGTATTCCATGGTGTATATGTACCACATTTTCTTATCCAGTCTATCATTGATGGGCATTTGGGTTGATTTCATGTCTTTGCTTTTGTGACTAGTGCTGCAGTGAACATATGCGTGCATATATCTTTATAATAGAATGATCTATATTCCTTTGGGATTACTGGGTCAAATGATATTTCTGGTTCTAGGGCTTCGAGGAATTGTGTGGCTCTAAATTTAAATCACCCCTTCAGCTTTCTCTTGCTGCTGTGCCTGAGATTTTTATATGGTAGCCCTGCTCCCTGGGCTAGGATTTTTTACACTTTATTTATTCACCTACATGGAATTTATAACCAGAAATTTTTGAATTAGACCTTCTTTGTGCCTTTAAAAAAATTATAATTATAGATACATAATTATTATAAGAAATAATTACGTGACTTGCTTTACTGCAGAAACAAAAAACCCAGAACCCAAAAACCAATCTAGTATTCTTCCAAATGCAGGCATGTCTATGAGATATTTTGAATTTGGTTGCAGATCACTGCAATAAAGTGAGTATCACAATAAAGCAAGTCACATAATTATTTCTTATAATCATAATAATTACATATATATTATTTTTGGAGATAGAGTTTCTCTGGCTGGTCTGGAATCCTGGCCTCAAGTGAGCCTCCCACCTTGGTCTCCCAAAGTGCTGGGATTACAGGCGTGAGCCACCGTGCCTGGCCTCCAGTAGTCTTATAGTTAGACAAAAAATTTTCAGATTTTCTGCTGATATATTGTCTCTGTATTAAAGACAACTATCTTTTAAAATTTTGTGCTTCTATAACAATACCTGAGACTAGGTAATTTATAAAGAACAGAGTTATTTCTTATAGTTCTGGAGGCTGGGAAGTTCAAGATTGAAGGGCCTGCACCAGGTGAAAGCCTTTTTGCCACATCATCCTGTGGTAGAAGGCAGAAGGTCAAGAGAGCACGCATGCAAGAGAGTGAAGGGGGCCAAACTCATCCTTTTGATCAGGAACCCACGCCTGCAATAACTAACCTACTTCCTCAATAACAGTGGAGCTCTCATGACCTAGTCACCGCTTAAAGGCCCCTGTCTCAACACTGTTGCATTGGGAATTAATATCCCAACACGTGAATTTTGGGGGGACAAGCCATAGTCACAGCCGACCTTTTGTTGCTCTGTCTAGCAAGTATAAAAATACTCCAAGTATTGGGGTGGCTCTGATATTTTAAAAAATGTTTAACTATAAAAGATCTTTTAATCCACGTCCTAGAAAACCTTTACTTTTCAGTCCATCCTCAGTATGCCTTGACTCTTCAAAGATTCAGTAAAGCTTATGCTGTGCAGAGAACAGTAGAAGGAGAACTGCTTCCCTGAGAGATGTATAATACTTCTCCAGCCTGGTGTAGAACCAATTCCCATTTAGAGAAGTGTAGAGGAACCCACAGTTTCAGCTGTTCCAGGGAAGGCATTAAAGTACTGCATGGGAATTAAGTGCACACATCAATCAAGCTGATAAGTCTTATCCCCAGTTAATATATAATAAAATATTAACAAAGCTAAATCAAATGAGTTTTCAGTTTAGCTATATAAGTGGAAAGCAATTTTGAGGTCTGTTGCATAAAGAATTCTAGTTCCGTGGTAGAGTAGCAAATAAGTGGGCTTGGGGGTGGGGTGACAGGAGAGGAGATAGATAAGTCACCCGTTAGTAACTCATTGCTGTCAGCTGTAGGTCTTTAAGGCCAACAGCGTGGCTTTGCCAGGTTTCCTAATAGTTGTATTTCAAGAGCAGCTTTAAGAAATAAATTTGTGTTAATATTAGTGAATAAATTTGAAGGATCTGTCCAGTGCTGTGAGCAATCTGTAGTAACTAACAGTAAGGTCCTGTAATAGTATTGGTTTTTACTTAATAAAATATTTAATCATAAATGTCTGAATTCTGTGTCTCCCACAGGAAGGCATTTCCATGCCCACTGACGAAAATAATTTAGCAGTGTCATAGTTGAGCGCTTAATTACTCATAATTGTGAAGGGTAAGATATGATGAATTCTTCCTTGATGGACATACTAAATATTTTAACCAAGTAGATGACTTAAAGTAAATTAAGCTAGTGAGATCATTTATTACATTGGTTAAAAGCGGTTTAAGAAATATATCATGTCCCACATGCCATTAGATGATAATATGTGCATGAGTACTTCTGCCATGTGACTAAAGGCTGTATTATTGTGATGGATGGCAGTTGTTTTAGGTTGGGTGTTGGAAAATGAGTATTAAATTTCTGGGGACTTTTTGACTTGTTTTGTTGTTTTGCTGTAGGTAGAATTTGCTTATCTAATGAGGATTCTTAGCTATAGGTAGAATTTGCTTATCAAAATAATGGGAAAACTCTTTATGTCCTTTTGTCTGATGTGAGAGTATTGTTTGTCCTGTATCAGGACAAAGGAAGGGACCTGACAGGGAAGGGTCTCCCGTAAATCTTTTTCTTCAGGAAAGATGGCCTGATTTGCAAAATAATGTTGAAAGCAGTCAAAAGGTATAAGAGGTAAAAGTGCAAGCAGAAACTCTTTGTAAAACACTTTATTAAAAATTTCTGAATTAAAAAGAAACTTACATTTTGGAGTCTAGGAAACAGGAGTTCAGATATTTTAGGAGTTAACTTAATATGTCACTGCAGCAACAATTGTGTAGTATTGTAAAAGGCTCAGGAGCCTCCTGCTTACCATTGGGGAAGGTTGAAACAACTTGTCTCATTAAGTTAAGCTTCTTCCCTGGAGTGTCTTATTTAGCTTTAGTTCTCTTAATTCTCTTTCCCTAGTGATTTGGGTAAAGTGTCTGAAACCACTAAAGGTAAAAGGTTGAAGCAATCCCAAATTTAATAATCTATCACCTTTCTTTAGTGTATCTGAGTGTAATTCCCAACGCTTCTTTGTGAATTCATTAGAAGACAGTAAGTCGTTAAAAGTTAATAAGAAACTATTTGTTTCTGTGGATGTGAATAAAGCCACTTTGTAAGTCTGACATTCTTTCCCAGTCATAAAAGCCTTGCTTTTAGTCAATTTCTTTTTTGTTGTTGTTCTCTCTAGGTTACTCCTGGATGGAGCACCTCTGATAGCAATCCACAAAGCCAGGTATTACAAGAGGAAAGATGGCTTAGCCCTGGGGCCTGGACCATTTGTGACTGCTTTAGAGTATGCCACAGATACCAAAGCCACAGTCGTGGGGAAACCAGAGAAGACATTCTTTTTGGAAGCATTGCGAGGCACTGGCTGTGAACCTGAGGAGGCTGTCATGATAGGAGATGTAAGTAGAAGAACCCAGGAGGTGCTCCCGGCTCACCTGTCATGCTGGGAGAGCCAGCTTGGAAACACTGCTTTAGGAAATGGGACATTCTCTTACTGTACATAAGTATATAAGTGGCTACCTATAAAACAAGGTTTCCTGTCAATGTTTAGTGGTATTCTTCTAAATAACTGAAATTTTTATTATTTCTGACATTTCTCCATAGCATAATGGCAGATTTGTGTGTTACAATACGTATATATGTAGTTAACGCCTATTTTATATATATATATGTATGTTTATATATTATATACATAGTTCAAAAGCCATTTATATTGCAAGTTAGTTGAATGCTTTAAATGTCTTTTTGAGGAACACCACTACACAAATGAGAACCTATACCAAAGAATTCTACCACTATTGTTTTTTTTTTCTTAGCATATGCTTTATGGAAGAACTTCTTTGTGTGCCACAAATAGCTAAAGATATTGATCACCTTAGCCTTCTGAGTGGCAGGGCTGAGCCTGGGATGATTGGAGGCCCTGGCTGGTCACCTGTGGCCATGAGCATCTTGTCAGTTTCCCCCAGTGTACTAGGCAAATGTTATTTCCTGTGTGTGTCTCGATGGGAAAAGAGCTGGAAAGCACACTGCCACACGGTAAGTTAGTGGCCAGGATTATATTTCAATTTTTAAATAATAACATGTCAAGCTGGGAGGGATCATCACAAATGTCTGGTCCAAAACTCCTCAGTTTATAGACTGGGAAACTGAAGCCCGAAGAGGTGAATCTCCAAGCCTGAATTCCCATAGCTAATTAGTAGCACAGCTGGCAGTAGAACTTGAGCTCAGGACTCCCTCCCTAGCTGTTTTAACTTGTGATGGTGGAAATGTGTATCACAGTCCTCCTGATTTTATCTTCTGTTTCTATAATCATTCACCTAAAATTGAATAGGATAAACCCTGAGCTCAATAATATTTTGAGAAACCATCTTTTGAGTCACACCTGTTCCTCTTGGCAAGCCTTTAGCTGCCTTTCCTAGACAAATGCGTCTGAAGAAGTGGTTATCCGAGCTGGGGGCTTCAGAATTCTTTATCCCAGGAGATGCTGGCCCTGGAACAGGATGAGAGATGGGAAGGGATGCAATAGCTGTGTTCAGCTGCATGGAGGGTTGTTGGTTATCCAGGAAAGTGGTGGTTCCCCCCTTCTCCTTGTCCACATTCACTTTTTCCCACCTCCCTGTCTCTTCTCTCCCATCTCCACTCTTCAACAGGGCAAGTTTAGCTGTAACAGAAAAGGTTTGAAGTTGGACCTTGAATGAGGATTTTGACATTCTGAAACTCATTTTCAAGGGCTGTTGTTGAACAATATTAATGGTTTTTAAGGAAAAAAAAACTTTCTTCAGGCATGGTCTGAATCAATCCTGCTTATTGACATGAGGTGGCAAGATTAATTTTTTTGATTTTTCTTTCAGTCTTTGGAATTTTAATTACCTTGCATTTATCATCATTGAATTTAACCAAGTATATTTATCCTTGTCTTGAATAATGATTAGGAAGAGGAGCTTCTTTTTCAGAATGATCTGTTATTCCCAAGTGTGAAGTGAACATCAGACAGTCAGAGTCTGTTTGAGTATCTGGATTTAACTTGATTCTATCTGTTAGGACAATGGGATGGAAAGTAAGGATAGCATACTACGTGGTCCACAGAAAAGCTGTCTTCTGAATCTAGCTCATTCACTGTCTGCAGCTGGATTATTTACTACCAAATGGATAGAATGCATTTTTCCATGATCTGTTTAATGGGGAGATAAATAGATGTAGGTGTGGCAAAACATAGAGAATTGTAATTGTAACTCTGCTGTCTGTGTTTGGTTACCAAGATTACTACTCTATTGTATACCTTCCACCTCTGAGATACTTCCCTTTCCAAACTTGGAATGCTTCCTCAGAGTATTACATGTGGATTCACCTTTTACATCTTCTCTTTTCTGTTTCAATAAAAAACATGGCATTACAGTTGGACACCCTAGCCTAATGAACAGTTGGTAAAGTTTGTTGGCTAGCTTACTGAAGACACTGCACTAAATGCTTTCTTTATGCTTTTCTAGGATTGCAGGGATGATGTTGGTGGGGCTCAGGATGTTGGCATGCTGGGCATCTTAGTAAAGACTGGTATGTATCTTCTGTATAAAGCATTTTCTAAAACAGTAGAATACACAGTTGGCTTAAAGAACAATCTTTGCAGAAGTGGCAGAGCCCTGGGCATTTTTATTCTCTTTCTGCCACAAAGCAAAAGTAAAACAGCATAGGATTATAGGAAACAATTGGGAAGGGCCCGTGCTGTACAAAGCTAGGAAGACGAGGGCTCAGAGGTATTTTAACACTTTCCCAGAGATAACCATTCCTGATTGACAGCATTTATATTATTTCCTGGATGTACAGTTCACCACAGAGGGATGAAGCAAAGGACCATGAATGGTAGTGCTCTGTGAAAATACCTTTTATTTTTCTGCTGGCTATACAACTGTGCTACCGATTTCTTTAGGAACTGGCCAGCTAAGTGATCTGATTCTTCGTGTTAATATTTGAACTTTTACAAAAATATTTGAAAAACTCTTTTTTTCTCTTTACTTACTGTTTGTGGTGGGCAAAAGGTTAAGAAGTATTTCTGGCACTATTAGGTTTACTTTATATGATATCTCAAATAAATTTAGGAAAAAGGAAAGACCTTAGTGGGGAGGATTCACTAATAGAGTATTATGACCACCATAGACTGGTTAAGTGCCTTGGGTCCTGGTCTCAGCTCTGCACTAACTAGCTGTGTGAGACACGGGTCAAGGTTCTTCCCCTTTTCGGGCCCTGTTAGAATGATGGGATTGGGCTGGTCCCATCTCGCCCTCATAGTTTATGATCCTATGTAGAGTGGGACTGATAAAGTCCTTTCGAGGTAAGGAAAGAACAGGCATAAGATCTGTGAGTGGGGCCGAATATTATTGCGTTGGGAACTTAATGTGCTGTTACCGTTAAAATGAAAAGCCCTTCTTCCCCTGCGTGCTGCCCCCAAATGACACCTGCTGCATTTGGAATTAACAGCACATGACAGCCAGAAATCTTGTCTAAGAAATATCATCAGACTCTTATAAATCAAATAGCAGATAAGTGGTTCCATAGATGTCTCTGTGAGCTCATTTGCCTGGTTTCATATCATAGTAGTAAAACTATTTAATAGACTGTTTACAGAAGGGAATATTTAAACATAAAGTCAAAGAAGAGTGACCACTGGGAAATTTTTTAGAAAAAGTGACTATGATGTTTGTTCAAGAAAATGTGGTTGCTTAAAATCTGTTTTGAATTTCAAATAGAAACAAGAAATGTAGATGGAGCTACAATTGAATAAGAAGTATATGGTGAGGTCTGTACAAAGAGTGAAAACACTGTCTGCTTGTGCCTGAGGCCTGAATTGAACCACTGGAGCCTTGCAGATATTAACACCAGTCACTCCAGAATTAACACAGTGGGTTTTTTCGAATGTCTCAGTCAAAATGATCACCTTTCCAGGAACATAACAGCCCTGTGATGTAAGCAGAAAAGAGGAAGAATGAAATAAAATATGGAAAAGTAGCCACACTCACCAGCCTCCATGTATCTTTCTTTTCAGATTTCTGCCTTTTGCTGTTTTATTTTCTCATTATTGAAGAAATCCTGAGATAACTATTTTTGCTCTTGTGTATTATTCCCATGAGTGTTTTTTTGTTTGTTTGTTTGTTTGTTTGTTTGTTTGTTTTTAGCTCATGTAATTAAGGATTTACAGTGAGCTTCAAAATGGTACTTCTGCCAGTGTCTTGATGGGCCCAGCTCTCCCGGCTGGTCTCCACTGGCTCTGTCATCTTTTCTGACTGTCATTTGGTTGTGACCAGCCTTTCACAGGCATCAGTTTAGTCTCTGAGAAGCCGTCAGCATAACACAATCAAGTCCAAAATGTGTAATTAGTAAATCAACTAAGTACAGCTCTTGAAAACAGGCATATTTGTACCATTGATTTTTGGTCAGAAAAATCATGAATAACCCTACTGTTCTAAAAACGTGGAACAGCCAGCTCCATTGATAAATTTTAACTCAGTGCAGTGGACAAGTGCTAGGCTTCCCAGTATTGAAAATAACCGTATTTTAATTAATATTCAATAACAAGTGCTTTTTGTGGATCATCTTGAGCAATTTTGTTTCTCAAGGGGTGGCACAAGGCAGATGCTCAATATAATTTGATCAGTTATTTGTTAAATATTTCTGACTAGTCCTAACCAGAATTTGTTTAGCATGTGAAACAGTCATCTAGAGAAAAAAAAAAAGGATCCTTCTTTGACTTCATATATCATCAACATAGCATCCTGTTTTCTCCCCCCGTTCATCATTTATCCATCCATGAAAGCACAGGTTGCAGCAGTGAGTGAGTCAGCCATGAGCAATGCAGGGAGCTTCATTCACTCAGTGAATGTTATTGAGCCCCTGCTGTGTGCCAGGCACAGTGCTAGGTGCTAGAAATCGAACATATACCTAAACCACTTTTGTCAATTTGTACTTTGTAGAAACCCCACTTGCAGAGCCACACTAAGCAAAAGCCTTTAACTCCATGGCTAAGAAGCTCATTTCTTTGTCCCTTAGACCACTGGATCCAGAAAGTAGGTAATATAGTAATATTTAGTCATTACTTACTTGTAAGATCAAATAGAAACCTTGTGAGGGAGTTTATACCTAATGATATTTAAACTTGGGAAGAAAACTGGCAGTAGAGCTTGCTGCGGGGACCATACTACAGACAGGTGCCTTCAGGGTGCTAACGAGAGTGAGGTATATATTAATTAATTACCTTTGTACATTTGATGCTGGCTGCCTTCCTGTAAGAAGTTACAATCAGTAAGATAAGACAGGAAGCATCTTCTCCACCATGATGCAAAGATGTGGAAAAGAGAGTTTTTCAGGCTTTGTGTTTGTCTGGCAAAGCCTCTTAAAGAAGTAGTTGTAGAAAACAGCATGTCTGTTGTTGAAAGAGCTGAGTTTAGGCATAGAAAACTGGGAAGAGCAGAAGAATCAATAACAGAGACCACAAAGGGATGAGAGAGCAAGGAGAAAGGTGAAGGGCAGAGGCAGCCCTGGTGGCTACAGGGCAGGAGCTGCATTCTGCATTTCCTCCCTCCCTCCCCTCTCTTCTTCCCTCCATTCAGTCTTTAAAAAGATATTTACAGGGTGGTTACTATGTGCTAGTCACTGTGTTAGGTACTTGGAATACACTGGGACATATAACAGATATAGTCCCTGCTCTCAAATAACTTAGTCTTCTTAAATGTGAGACATGTTAAAAAAATAAATGCATAATTACAAATTGTTGTAAATGTTCTGGAGGCAAAGAACAAGGTGAATGACAAGGGAGGGGTTTTAATTTGGATGGGAAGGTGGGGTCTGACCTGAAGCATGAAGGAGGTAGTCAGGTGAGAAGAATGGAATGACAAGGGAATGGCAGGTATGAAGGCCCTCAGAAAAGCCAAGTCCAGTCTGGAACTGCAGCCTGGTGAGCCAGTAGCACATGTTTAGGTGAGAGGGTTGCTGGGACTGTATGACAAAGGGCTTGGTAAGCAGCAGTAGAGATTTTGGATTCTTTCTGAAAGGCACTGGGACCCATTAAAGGGTCTTTAAATAGGGACCATGCACCTTCTGACTTGCAAAAGCTCTTTGTGACCACTGTGGAATGGTTCCTCTGCTGTGTTGAGGTGTTAAATTGTGTGTCAGGTGCTACAACAGCAGGCCATCTTGAATTCCAGGGTTGGGAGAGTCAGGCAGTGAGCCTGCTGCTTGATGCCAAGTGGCCTGTCCTGCCTGGCCCCAGGCCTGCGAGCATCCATCAGTCTTTCCCTCCCCAACCCAGGGCCTTCTCATCTGCCAGGCTCCCAGGCTGCCTGGATCCCTGCGTGTCAGCAGCACATCCTGTTCCCGGTCGCCATTGGGAGCGGATGAGTCCTCTGCCCTCTGGGATCTGGGCTTCCACTTTGAAGAATTAATTTAATCACCAACCTATCTTTAGGGCTGAGGGTAGGGGAAAGAAAATGATTTCATCAGCTGTGAATATGTGAAGAGAATCTTAGCTGTCAGGCGACCCAGTACCTGTGGCCTGTCCATTGTGAATGACCAGAGGGCCTGGGGAAAGGCTGAATGTGACATTTCTTTGAATTGCCTCGTTTACATCCTGAAGCCTCAGTAAAAGGTGATATGGGAGATGTGCGGCCCCTGATTCTCTCAAAACTGTAAGGGTGGTTCTGTGATGACCCAGGTGCTCATGGGGTATGATTAATTTAGCATTCTGGTGGCAGCCTGTGTTTACTGGCTTTGCTTTCATTTCAGGGAAATACCGAGCATCAGATGAAGAAAAAATTAATCCACCTCCTTACTTAACTTGTGAGAGTTTCCCTCATGCTGTGGACCACATTCTGCAGCACCTGTTGTGAAGCAATGTGTGTGTCTGAAGCAACTTGAAACGCAGCTTCTTACTGTCTGGAATGATTCCCTGACCAACTCAGTGCCAGCATCGGTAGACACACACCAGTCAGTGCTGATCGCTTTTTAACCCTCTTTTGTTGTGCATTAATTAGAAAGAAAGGTATTGAATTGCGGCCAGCCAGTAAGCCTTGCGAATCTCTTTTATTTTGTAACTGAAGATGAGACCCAGAGAAAGGGAAAGCTGAGATTTTGGGCCATTCCTTTTAAAAATTCATCAGGTTAGGCAGGGCTGGGAGGGAGAAGCTACCACAGGCAAGAGTGTTCTCTGCTGTCTCCTCACTGGAAAACAGGGAGGGGGGATTTCAGACTGTGAAGAAAGTTGAATGGTGGTTTTTAAATTATAAAGTAATGTATTAAAAGGTGTATTAGGCTGTAATTCTAATATTGAGTTCAACTGTGAAATCCATCAGATGTGCCAAATGGAGAAAACAGAAAGTAACAAAGAGAATTGTCCTTTAGCCCAAGTGATACAGTGAATTTGCTTTAATAGATGTTGAAAACTAAATTTTCTACTGTATTCCCAGCATGGGTGACTTCTTTTTCTCTTCATTAGCCAGAGATGACTAATTTAAATTTAGAACCAGATTTTAATTTAAAATAATACTTCCATTAATAACCTATTCATTGCAGATACCTATTATACTGTGTAACAGTTGTTTTGGAAATTTTATGTAAAATTAAAACTATCAGTATTTTACAGATGTTTTAATTAGACATTGTTATTAACAGGAACAGTGCAGAAACTAGAATCAAGCCTTGTAATGTCTTATAGACCATGCATTTTTGAAGTTAGTGTCCACTAGGGTCCTATTAACTGTACATTTGCAAGATTTCATTATTTTTGCCTCTGACACTATGGGAAAAATTTTTTAGAAGCTATTGGGACAGATTCAAGCTTTTATGTACTTGGTTACTACAGCTGTAAAATGAAATCTCGTCTTGTAGCATGGATTATTCTTCTCATGTTAAACTCACCAAAATGAAGGGGACTAAATAGGTAATGATTTTCCTAGTGCATTTGCATACTGTGACAATCCCGGGCCTTGCAATAGTTTTACAGGGCTCTTGGGCATTGAATTATTAGGATGTAATTGTACATCATTGTAGTGTTCACCTTATTGAAGCTCACTCTGATGTTAATGAGCTTCGGGTTTTGATGCTTGTTTAGAGATCAGCAGTCTTGGATGGGAGGGAACAAAGCTAAATAAATAGTTTGGTGAGCACTGTGTTTTTGTTTTTGCAAATACCTCGTCTTAGTATTTATATATCCCAGAGTGCAAAAGACAGATGTGATATGACTACCACCCCAAATCAGAAGGATGAGCAGAGTGGCTAAGAGCATACTCTGGATCCTGGTAACACAAAATTAGCTCTCTGGCCTTGGGGAAGTCACCTCACCTCTCTCATGCCTTCTTTCCTTATCTATAAAATGGGGATAATGATAATGCCCACCACATACGGTTGGTGTGAGCATTATGTGCATGAACTATATATTAAGTACTTAGAATATCATTGGGCAAATGGTAAATGCTGTGCGTTTGTGATGATGATGAAGCAGGACTCTCGACATTTAACAATCTGAAAAATGTTGGTAGAATTTATCTTTGCATTTATCTCAGTGGAGAAAGTCTTCCTGAGGATTAAAAAAAAGAAATTCTGTACTACATTTAGACTTCCTCAGAGTAAAGCTGCACACAGAGAGAGCTCAGCCTGCGAGTAGAGAGCTCTGCGTGGTACCTGGTGGCTGGGCTGCCTTCAATTTTGCCCTGTTGCTTGGGCACCTGGGTCAGTGATGCCTTGGCTCAAGTATTATCAAGTGTTTGCTAGTTGCTATGCGCTGAGTGCCCTGATTATGGTGGGAAATAAGCATATTAAGAAAAAGATTTTGCCTCAATGATCCTTTCCAGTTAAAGAGCTAAGGAGAAGAATACACATTACTCAAGAACACTAAAGATCCAACTCGGCGTTCCCCTTCTCTGATGTCGTCCCTGACTTCAGGATGGGGCAAGGTGTCCCCTCATTCATGTCCATGTGGCACTTTAAGAGTGTACTTATGTCTTCACATGCTCTTCTCCCCACTAGACAGGACTGCATCTCATTTTTTTTTAATTTTAATTTTGCTACCCAGTTAAATTTGAGTTTCATCATTCTTTCCTATATCTGCTGCAACCCAGGTAAGCACTCAAATGGGTACTGAACCAATAAAAACTATCATAGGAATGTAATGCTAGAAAGCATAGCTTTGAGTGGGCAGGAGAAAATGTTCATTAAATAAACACTTGGAAGTAATGGATCAGATGCTCTGGAGACAGGTTAGAGCTAAAACCAAGAAGGTAACATCATTGATGGGTTAGGAAGTGAAGAGGATAAAGGTCTCCTGAGCATGGTGGACCCAGCCAGGAGAAATGGCTTCTCTCGTTTCCTCCATTCCACTTTATCCCTGTGAGCCCTGAAAATCTTAGTTTGAGATATTTAACAAGCATTATATAGGCCTTGCTAACTGACCGGCCCACGGTAAGGTTCATGAGAATAACTAAAAATCTTATTTATAAACATTCCAATCCATGTTAGTGTCAGCTGGTTAGTCTGCCTTGGGCCTCATGGAGGAAGTTTAGTAACTGAAGTTTCTAAAAGGCTTCATTTACTGGCTGTCCCATTTAAAGGGCTATCTGGTATTAATCTCAAGGATGGTGTTTGTATCAGTTTTATTATAATCCTGTCCTGGGCCAGAAAAGGGACCATGTGACACCTTGGGACTGGAAAGGTTATTAGAAAACATCCATTGTTAGGAGTTGAGTGTCCCACATCTGCTGTGAGCCAGGAGTGTGGAACAGAGCAGAGCTCCAGTCCAGGGGAGGACGGACGGTCGTTCCACCCTCTCCACCCACAACTCCAGAGTCAGCCACAGGTTGCAGTAGCTCTGCCTACCGTGCATTCTGTATCAGTGAGAGCTAATCATAATGCCTAGGAAAGGAAAAGGATAACCTACCTCACTCTAAGTGACAATTCCGTCAAACTTTACCTGTAGCCATAATGTCAGAAATTCCGGTGGAATAATATATGTCAATTCACACATAATCCCATGTTTTAGAACTTACAGTAGTGTGTTGGACAGGGAAGTTAAAAACACCTACACTGATTGTGTTCAGTTGGTTTTTGGACCAATGTGTGTTCATGCAGGATAAAACTGAAGTCCTTGGGTACCTATAGTAGAGAATTGTTTAAATGACACTAACCTATTGCATTAAAACACTACCTCGAGCAGTAGAATCCCTTTGTCATATTAGCAGTTGTTTGCAGAGGGCTGTGTTTGCATTATCATGTTTATTTGACATAAGTCACAAAAGCTTTTTTCAGCCTAAATGCACAAGACTTTTGGTGACTTCCGTATTAAACCAGCCATCAAGGCCTCCTGTCCCAAATCATGTTGCTGTCTTTAAGGAGCAGTAATGAGGGTGCCAAAGTCCCAGAAATCATTTGTTTCAAACAGTTTGAATGCTTTTTCCAGTGCTCAACTCCTGTTTGTTTCACTGGCTGATCTTCCTGAAAAAACTGATATTTAATGTTTTCTGTGAGTAAAGCATAAGGGAGATGGAGAGAATACAGCTGTGGCTTCTAAGATGCGTGTCTTTTAGTTGGGAAATTCATACATATAAAAATGAATAACAACACCAAGGGCTCTGACACGTTCAGAATGGTTGTGTAAGTCCTCTAAGATTACAAGCAGTGAGCAAAATGCATGGGAGTAGTAGTCACAGACAGTGCTCAGATAACCTTTGGCATACACCAATTTAAATAATCTTTCATTCAATGGCAGTGAAAAAAAAGTACTCCAGGCATGGAGCTTAACATTTGGAGGAGGCAACAAATGATGAAACATATGCATGTATACATAGCTACCTAATACGATGAGAGATTGATGAATGATGAAGAAGGCCAACAGGAATGCAGTTACTTTAGCTAAGTATGGTCCACCAAGGAAGGCTTTTAAAAGTGAGTGGGAGCAGGCTGTGAGAATTCTACAGGTGTATAGTTAACCTTGATTGCCAACATCTGAACACCAGGAGATTCTAATGCAAATCAACTACTGGGTTTTCTAGGAAGATGAGAAGAACTATCTATGTTAGATCCAAATTTCCATGGCCAATTGGAGCAGAGTCATTACTGTGTCTTTCAGAGAGTCCCTGGCCCTCTCTAGCTCACCACCGTCTCCACCTCTGCTTCGCCTAACACCCATCTTACTCCTCATTTGCCACTACATTCCATGTTTCTGTAGGTCTTTGGGCTGTGACCTCTACTTTGGAAGAAAATATATTAAACTTTCCTCCAACAGCTATCAGGCCAATCTCCTATGTAAACTTAGATATATACTTCTAATCTACTTTAAAAAATAATCATGGAGACTCTTAACATTATATTAAGTCGTATGTGTTGGTCTCTTTTTTTCTTTTTCTCAAAGCTATACCAAAATAAGAGTAAAAGGAGTAATTGTAAACCCACAGGGTCAGCCCACAAGAGAAGGTAGAGGAGGCATCAGTGGATGAAAAGGTACAGTAATCTGAAAGGTGGAAACTGGTTGGAATGTTGATAAACAAAATCAGTGCAAAGAAAATACAGCCAAAATTCATCCTGTAGAACAACTTCAAAGACTCAAGCTTGCAGACAACAGGCAGGGAGGAAGTGAGGTACAAGACAGGATTGAAAGTGAGGAATTGGTTAAAAGTTGGAGCCTCAGGAAACTTACCCATCCTGAGCAGTCAGATGCCAACCCCTAGCCAAGGCAGGAGAACGGAAGTTTTCCGTTATTCTCTGGAAAAATGGAACCATGGAAATTAAGGCCATGGGAACAGTGGGCATGGTGTAGGGCCAGGGTGAGATGCAGGGCTGGAAATGGATTAGGTACAAATTGCTTATTCTGCCACGGTCCTCTGCTCCCCTTTCCCTTAGAACACCAGGACCAGAGCGGGTGGGAAGGGAGTGGAAAGTTTATCTGGTATGTTTGGTCATTTGGAAAAGAATATTGATGGGCACCTGACAGGTCCGAGAATGTGTTGCCAAAAAAAAAAGATACTTAGAAAATTAAGCAAATAGAAAAATGAGGCAGTTGTTAATTCTAGGGAAGACAAAACAAGAAAGCAAATGTAATTCTAATTCACTAGCTGGCTCTGCAGTTAACAATGTACATTTCTAATAAAAATACTGGTTATTGAGTTAATTTAAAATCATAATACAACTTTTGGAATGATGGAGAAAGACACGTATACGTGGTAAGGAAAGGGCAGAGAGATGAAAGAGCTACACTTCATTTCATCTAAAGCAGGAATAAATGTATAAAACATCAAGAAGAAGCCACCAAAGTAAATGTGTGACAGAAAAACATCCACATGCCGAAGTATTTGAAGACAAATTTTCTTAGGAAAAAAGAGGAGGACTGAATATGTGATTGAATAGAGGTGGAAGTGTTAAAAACATGGACAAGGCGATATTTAAAGGGAATGGAGGATGTGGAGATGCAGCAGGCACACAGGCTGCATATGGGGTGTTGGAAGTGGAAGAAGGTTAAGTGTATTTGCTGTGAGGGATAGCAGAACTGCACTTACCCTGAATGCATTCAGGAGCGGGCAGTAAGCAGAAAGGACCCAAATGTATTGTCACAAAGCATGCTATCCACAGGAGCACTTCCCCTGCCCCTTTACCCAGTCACTCTTGGGTACATGTACAGCACCAACTTTCCCACTGCAGCAAATTTGCAACAGCAGTTGAGATTTTATAAAATTAGAAATTATGGTAGTGGCCACAAGCGAATGGACTAGCAACTACAAGAAATGTCAGCTGATGGCCTGACAAGAAGAATCCCCCAAAACCATAAAGCAGACATCGGAACTTGGGCCTTACATCAGTCTTAGGCCATTCAGTGTAGAGTCCTCTATATCAGTGGTCCTCAGGCTTTTTGGCACCGGGGACTGGTTTCATGGAAGACAATTTTTCCACGGACTGAGCCTGGCTGGGGGGTGGGGGATGGATGGTTTTGGGATGAAACTGTTTCGCCTCAGATCATCAGGCATTACTTAGATTCTCATAAGGAGTGCATAACCTAGATCCCTCGCATGCACAGTTCACAATAGAGTTCACACTCCTGTGGGAATCTAATATTGTCACTGATCTGACAGGAGGTGGAGCTCAGGCAGTAATGCTCACCTGCCTCTTAGTTGCTGTGCAACCCTGTTTCTAACAAGCCACGAGAGGGTACTACGGGTCCATGGCCCAGGGGCTGGGGACTCTCTATGCTTTGTATCGCTGGTGCTGGCATAGTGTAGTGCCTGATGCTTATGAAGAAGTTTAAGCATGTACTGAGATGAAATCTTTTTTCTTTTCAATTTGTTAAATAAGGTATATTTTCAATTTGATATTTTCCATGAAATGATGTTTAAAGAGGCGTTTGAGAATAATCTCAAAATAATCAATACCCCAAAACATGCTTTAGTTTTGTTTAAAAGGGTAAAAATCCTTTGGGATATTTAGCTATCCAAAGTGTCTCTTTTTGGAAGTTTTTCCTCTTGAAGAGTCTGTCTGCAGGGATGATGAAAACAAGGCAAGGAAGAGAAAAGAAGGTAATTTCCCATAGGTAAGTTCTAGTGGGGGAAAAGAAGTCGCATTACTTAGGGGAAGCCTTCAAAATTTATCAAGGGTTCAAAGTAGATCCCTCGGATTGTGAGTTTCTGAGAGATGCTTCTAGCTGTTTATAACCCCTTAAGGAGAGGGGGAAGAGCCTAAGAGCAGGGAAGACTTGGAATGAATATTCTCGAAGCTCAGGTGCCCCATCCTAAGCTTTGGTTCTGATGAGAAGCTGTGGCAATGGAAAGAGAAGGGCAGAGCACACCGGATGTGAGATGTGAAGAGTTAAAAGATGTTATTGGGGGCCAGAACCCAAAACAGTCATACTGGCAGCTGATGGTGATGGTGTGCTAGTCACCCCGGCTATTAGCTCTAGGATCAGAATGCTCAGTGACATTTCTGAGTGGGGCTTAGTTTGGGAGGGGTTTGCTGCTGACAAAGCTGGATGGAGTCAGAATTAGGGAGAGCTGATGAGATACAGAGTATTGTCCACAATGAGAAACAGACTGCATTGCCTTCCCTGCCCTCATCCTTCTTCACCCTGGGACTGTCCGCTGGGCAGTGCCTGTCAAGCTTAGCTTCTACTTGGCTGCCCCAACTCAAGGTCATCCTGTGCCTGGCCAACACAACTTTTCTAAGTACATCTTTTTCTTCAAAAGTTTACAAATGAGTAACATTACAGAAAATTGTTCATTAAAATTTTATGGAGTCTAATTGTCAGAAAAATCTCCATTGTATGACCTAATAGCACATATATGTATGTAACTGAAACCCTCAATATTTTGCTGACATCAGTAATGATAAGTTAATAAATATATCTCAGCTATCCAAACAATACAGTGGCTCAAGTTAATCCAGTCTTCAAGAATAATTTTCTCTTTTCCATTCCAATCATTTTGTTCTTCTCCCACGGACACTAATAAACTAGGAGGCCTTTGTGGCCGGGTCAGGGTAAATGTGGTTTCAAACAGACTCGAACTCTCTTTGCCAGGCTGAGTATCTCTGAGCCAGATTCTTTGCGGAGGGCTTGGTATGAGTTAGCACATCCAGAAAGTCGGCAGTGGTTACTGTATCCAACTGGATCCCTGGTAAGTCGCTGCTTTCTAGGATAAGAACACAACAGTAACAGCACAACAATCGACCTCTTGGTGATCAATGCTCCTGAAACGCTAATAGACCTTCTTTCAAGACAATGCATAATGCAGCATTCTTAATTGTTAATGCAGCAAAAGGCAAGAGTAAAGAGGGCTGGGGAAAAATTCTTTAATGTGCAACTGAGTTAGCCCCTAAGGCCTAGACAAAAAAAAAAAATGTGACTTAAATGTATTGTTACCAAGTATTATTTAATATTTATATAGTGCCTCAAATGGATCCAGCCCAACATCAGAGTGTGCCAGAGAAATAAAAGCCTGAGCCCTAAGGAGTTTATCTTCTGCGAGCAAAGTCGATCTGAATCAGAACACCCACAGAGGAATGAGTTGAGTGAGGGATGATTTGACCAAAAAACGTGTTGCAACTGTAAAGCGGCACCAAGAACGGGCACCAGGCTCCATCTGCTGGTGAGAGGGATTTTTACACAAATTTCCCAGAACACCTTCACAGTGATCCAACCCATACCTGACTGGTGATTTTCAAGTGCATCAAAGATCTTCCTCACGGGCCGCATGGCTGCTTCCCTGCAGACGAGCTTAATGTCTGAGCCTGAGTAGCCCTCAGTCTCCTGAAACAGCCACAAAAAACAGCCATTGGTCAGTGGACAGAATGCCCCTGGCCATTACATTGTTATGGGCAGGACCCAGTATCAGAAGTCCTGTGTAGATTCTGTATCTGTCACCCATGAACACCCTAAAAAGATTCCCAGATAAACAGTGCTTGAGGCAGAGACCCTGCTAGCATGCTGGGATAACCTAAGCAGCTGGGCTAGAAGGGCTTTCTAACACTATCAAAATATGCTGTAAGATGCCAGTAAAGGACCAGAACACCCAAGTTGGGCTATCGGGGTCCCTGTGCTCAAATCCAAGGATGTTCAAATTGGTAGGCACGTTTATTCTTGTAAATAAGATCATACCTGCCATTTAGGAGCCTCAGAGAACATTGTGTTCAAATGTTCACCAAAAGCAGGCAACATTTCTACAACACCCTGGGAATGGACACCAGTGATAATGTGCATAATAGACATGTACCGGGAGATTTTCTGTTATGTAATCATCACAGTCATTCTTTGTGGCTCATCTGCTACCCATTTTACAGATGAAGAAACTGAGGCTTAAAGAGTAAGTGACTTCCCTGAGGTCACACAGCTAACAAGCAGCAGGGGCAGGATTTGACCATAGGTTTTCTGAGTCTAAACCCTATGCTGTTTCCACTGCCTCACACTATTTCTCCCTCTCTGAATATTTTTAAGTGACAAGGAGCTTATTCTTCCGTGAAGATGCCCATTGCATTATAGGGGCAGCTTTGATCTTATTCTAAGTGTCTTAAGCTTCTGTCAGCTCATGGTAAGACCTGGTCTACAAGATGGCCATGTGGTGAGCCCTTGACCTACATGTGCCCCTCTCTAGGGCAGCTGACCTGGCTCAGCACACTGTACTCCAGCTCTGTGCGCAGCTCCAAGGCCCTGCTCTTGCTCACAGGAGGCAGCCAGTGGTAGATCATGGCCTGCCTGGCCTCCCGGCTGGGGAGATCAACCAGAATCCTCTTCTCCAGGCGGCGTAACATGGCACAGTCCAGCTCCCTAAAATCACACCAGAAATGGAGCTGGACAGGGCTGCAAACACACTTCCTGAACAACAACTGTACTTTAAGAACAATTTAGCATTGCAGAAAGCAATTTTGCATTTTAACTCTCACTCTACATCTATGCCTTGAGTGGATGGGACAATTACTTAATATTATTTGGAGAAAGAATTGGTGAGAGAGAGAAGTGAGGGAGGGAAGGAAGGGAAGAGAGGGAGGAAAGAGGAAAGGAAGGAGAAGAAAGAGCAGGAAGGAATGGAAGAGAGGGAGGAAAGCAGAAAGGAAGGAAAAGAAAGAGAAGGAAGGAAGGAAAGAAGGATAAATGGAAGAAAAGAAAAAGAACATATCCTCAGAACTCCTAATGAAAAGGAAGTAATTTTAGGTAACTTAATTTGGGGTACAAAAACCAACTAACAACCAGCAATCATGAGTATTCTCATTGCAGTTGTAACATGAATTATTCAATCCGATCTTGCCAGTGAGTAAATTATTGCTGACAATAACTTGGGCACTCTAAGTACATTAATTCTTCCAAAATTCTCAGTCCTTCTGGCGTGAATGACCCTCTCACTTCATTACATTGGTGAACTTAGCACCAGTGGCCCTTCCTGGGTGCCCAATGCAAATACAGCCCTTTCAGACACTCACTTTTACTACTCCCCAAACTGTCAGGCCAAGTTTATGTGATTTTGCATCTGCAGGCCATATCCTTAAACTTCTTGATATGGTTTGGCTCTGTGTCCCCACCCAAATCTCATTTTAAATTGTAATCGCATAGTTCCCACATGTTGTGGGAGGGACCCAGTGGGAGATAATTTGAATCATGGGGGCAATTTCCCCCATGCATGCTCTTCTCATGGTAGTGAATAAGTCTCACGAGATCTGATGGTTTTATCAGGGGTTTCCGCTTTTTGCATCTTCCTCATTTTTCTTGCTGCCACCATGTAAGAAGTGCCTTTTGCCCCCTGCCATGATTCTGAGGCTCCCCATCCATGTGAAACTGTAAGTCCAACTAATTTTTTCTTCCCAGTCTTGGGTATGTCTTCACCAGCAGCATGAAAATGGACTAATACACTTCTTTTTTTATTTTTATTATTATTATTTTTTGAGACAGAGTCTCGCTCTGTCGCCAGGCTGGAGTGCAATGGTTTTCAAACTAACATAAAAGTAGAATAAAACAATTGAACATCCATATACATACCATCTTGATTCGACACCAGTATTCTGCCATATCTGCTTCGTATCTCTTTATCTACTTTTTCTTGCTAAATTATTTCAAAGTAATTTATATCGTGACACCTCATCCCTAAGTATTTTAGCATGCATTTCCAAAGAAAGGCATTTGCTTACATAGCCACAATATCACTATGACACCTGGCGAAACTGATTCTGTAATGTGTCTAATGCTCAGTCCATATTCAGATTTCTCCAATCAGGGTGGAGGGTGGGAGGAGGGAGAGGATCAGGAAAAACAACTAATGGGTACTAGGCTTAATATCTGAGTGATGAAATCATCTGTACAACAAACCCCCATGACACAAGTCCACCTATACAACAAACCTGCACATGTACCCCTGAGCTTAAATAAAAGTTAACAAAATTTCTCCAACCATCCCCAAAATATCTTCCATCATTTTCTGACAAAATCCAGTGAAGAAGTATGCATTATGTATGGTTATGTCTCTTAAATCTCTTTTAATCTAGGTCAGCCTGCTTGCCCTAGACCCTTTTTGAAAAAACAGGGCCAGCTGGAGAATGTCCCACATTCTGAATTGGTCTGATGCTTTCCTTGTGATATCATGAAACTGGTTCCTCTATTCCCTGTCTCTAAGAGGGAAGTTAGTTCTAAAAGCTTAATGAGATTTAGGGTAAATATTTTTTGGCAAGCATATTACATAGATGATGTTGTGTTTTCATATTCATCAGGATCCACACGTCTGTGTGTCTCACTGTCAGTGTGGTGTTTGATTTTCTGGTGGCCATGGAACTCTCCATTGTAAAGAAACACATCTTTTCTCAGCAAGTAGTAAGTATTCTGTGTACAATACTTTGACACCATAGGAATGCCCAATTCCTTATACCCTTTCAACTAATGGTTTTAGCATCTGTTGATGATCTTTATGTGAATCAGCTATTTCACTAGAGGTTGCAAATGCTGATTAAACACACACCCACATACACACACACAGATTTTTTTTTCTTTTTTCTTTTTTTTTTTAGCCAGGGTCTTCCTCTGTCGCCCAGGCTGGAGTGCAGTGGTGCCCTCTCAGCTCACTGCCTCCTCCACCTCTTGGACTCAAGCGATCCTTCTGTCTCAGCCCCCCAAGTAGCTGGGACTACAGGTGCGAGCCCGGCTAATTTTTGTATTTTTTGGACGCAGTTTCACCATGTTAGCCAGGCTGGTCTTGAACTACTGAGCTCAAACAGTCCACCCGCCTCAGCCTCCCAAAGTGCTAGGATTACAGGTGTGAGCCACCATGCCTGGTCTGGATTTTTCATTCCAAATACATTATTTGGAGTTATTATGAAATTACATAGCACTATTATGTAAAGCAGAGCTTTCCCTCATCAGCTGAGACTATTTGGTTACTCTAAATTACCAGTCCTGTTATCAATAGATCATCTTGAGTGTGTGTCTGTGAACTGTTTATTTGATTTTCTAGGATAGAAATGAGGAAATTCCTGTATGTTAGCCTTAGCCTAACCATTGATAAAGAGTAACAACGAGCTGGGTGTGTTGGCTAATGCCTGTAATCCCAGCCCTTGGGGAAGCTGAGGTAGAAGATTTGCTGACTATGCTGGGCAACATAGTGACAGCCCGTCTCTGCACAATATAAATAAAATTAGCTGGGTGTGGTGATGCACGCCTGTAGTCTCAGCTACTTGGGAGACTGAGGTAGGAGAGTCACCTGAGCCCAGGAAGCCGAGGCTGTAGTGAGCTGAGATCACACTACTGCACTCCAGCCTGAGTGACAGAAATAATTTTTTAAAAAAATAAAATAAAACTTTAAATATTTTTTTAAAAAGAGTAACAATGAAAACATCACCAGGTATTTCTCATTCATAAAAACACTAAGAATTTCTAAACTGTCTTCCCATTTTTTCTTATTCTCATTCTGAATCTATGTTACAATATTTCCTTTTAAATTGAAAACACTTCCAGGGAACATATCTGAATCCTAAATCACAGCAACCAGATTTCTTTAAGGAGTGTGCCTTTGCTTCTCCTGTTGTTTGTCTAACCCTGAACTGAGAATCCATAGTCCAGGGGTGCCTTACTGACAGTGACAATGACCTATTTCTTTTTTGCATTTGCTTTGTTCTTCTATCAGTCTCACCCTGTTGACATTCATCTCACATCAGAGACTCAGCCACCTCTTCCCTTGCGCAATTATTCCCCCTCTCAAGGCACATTTATATTCAAGGCACAGGGTCAAGGAAAAGAAAAAAACCGTGCTTCACAGCAGAACTTTGCCTAGCACTCCAATTGAGGATGTGCTCATCTTTGCTTCAAATGGTTTCTTCCTTGTTCATACTCAGCAATAATATGCAGCCAGCAGGCAGCAAGAATGATGCTGTTTTTCTTGATTGGTAAGCACCCACACCATACCAGTTGTTTAATATTTTTAATATCACCCCTGCATATAAGCCACAAAAATATGTTATCCTTCATACCCAAGGATGTTCCATCAGAAGGCTGTCTGTGCTACTAAGGTTGAAATAAAAACACTGTAGTAGTCCATTCTCACAATGCTATGAAGAAATATTTGGGACTGGGTAATTTATAAGGAAAGGGGTTTAATTGACTCACAGTTCCACATGACTGGGGAGGCCTCAAGAAACTGGCAATCATGGTGGAAGGCAAAGGAGAGAAGCAGGCATCTTCTTTACGGGGTGGCAGGACAGAGTGAGCACTTATAAAACCATCAAGGTGCAGTGAGATCTCATGACAACAGCATGAGGGAAACCGCCCCCATGATTCAATTATCTCCACCTGGTTCCGCCCTTGACAGGTGGGGATTATGAGGATTATAATTGAAGATGAATTTTGGGTGGGGACCAGCCAAACCATATTACACTTCATTGTTGATGAACTTTAACTAAGACTGCACTTAAATTTGGGGATAAACAGAATCACTTCTGCTTCCTCCTACTAAACACCACTGAAAGAGTTTTTGAATGGCATAAACCCACAAAAGCAAACAGAATTGGAGAACTGATTGAAGCAAAGATATGAACGCTGGGAAGCATAATGACGAGTAAAAGAAACTTAGTAGAACTGAGAAGCTGCTTTCTAAATCAGCAGTAAAGGATGTCAGGAAATAATCTGAGTCACAGAAACCCCAAGAGATTTGGCAGTATCTTCTACCTTTAGAGGTGAGGGTGAGGGTGGGTTGAAAATAGGGGGTTTGATTGCCAATTTGTATATAAAAAAAAGTTAGATCACAGATTTTCTCCCCCTCCAATAGTAGGGGAACTGCGTCTCCCATACTTTGGCAGAGGGTAAAATGGAGGGTCTCCAAGCTGGGAAACACCAGACTCAGTTGAAAACAGTGTACTGTATTGAAACAAGGAGATACTGACTATCCCTAGACTATTAGCAGCCAAACTTTTGCCCTCCAGGCAGGAGATTGCAAAAATCGTCACTTGGCAATCTGACCAGCCAAAGAGAAAGACCCTAAGGATACTGATATTGGGAGTTCCCCAACACAATAACCCAGTCATATCTCAGCACATGGAGCCCACAGTCAGCAAGCCTTTCCCATGTGCACAGAACTTCCTGTGGGTTTTGTTAATGTGCCCCTCTCATAAACATTAGGCAACCAAGAAGACCTACATCTGTGGAACTCCTCTAACTTGAAGACACAACCCAACACAAATAAATGGGGAAAAATTAAAAGAATCTTGGAGAAAACAGAATTCTTCAGGGAAATGAAACTTCAAAAATTAGTATTCTCAGAGAGATGTAAGAAAATATTGCCATGAAACAAGAAGAGTGTCTTAGTCCATTTTGAACTGCTATAACAAAATACCTGAAACTAGGTAATTTATAAAGAACAGACATTTCATAATTTGTCATTTTGGAGGGTGGCAGACCAAGATCCAGGCACCAGCAGGTTTAGTGTCTGGTGAGAGCCTGGTCTCTGCTTCCAAGATGGCACGTCCTCAAGAGGGGGAAACAATGTGTCTTCACATGATGGCAAGTGGAAGGCAAAAAAGAGACCAAACTGCCTCCATTGTGCCTTTTTATAATGGCATTATTCTGCTCATGATGGTGAAGCCCTGGTGACCTAAACACTTCCTACAGGACTCTATACCACCCGACCCTGTTGCATTGGGGATTAAGTTTCCAACACATGAATTTTGAGGAACACATTCAGACTACAGCAAAAAGGATGCCATTTAAAAAGAACATTCAGAGAAAAACAACAAAATGCGGTAACTTGAGAATACAAAATATGATAGAAGAAGTTAAAAACACAACAGAAAGCTGAGAAGATAAAGCTGGAGAAATCTCTCACAGAGTAGGACAAGAAAGACACACAAGGCCAGGCATGGTGGCCCATGCATGTAATTCCAACATGTTGGGAGGCCAAGGTGGGAGGATCACTTGAGCCCAGGAGTTCAAAACCAGGCTGGGCAACACAGTGAGATCCCATCTCTACAAAAAAATTAGCCAGGCATATGCCTGTAGACCCAGCTACTTGCGAGGTGGGAGGATCACTTGACCCCAAGAAGTTGAGGCTGCAGGGAGCTGTCGTCACGCCACTGCACTCCAACCTTGGTGACAGAGCCAGGCCCTGTCTCAATTAAAAAAAAAAAAAAAAAAAAAAGACACACACACACAAACACACACATAAATACACACACACACAAAAAGTTCAAAATGAGAAAGATGGTTTTTTAAATGAGAACATTATTACAGGAGAGCCAACAGACAATAGGAGATCAAAAAAACAAAAGGGGGATGCAGAGAAAACAGAAGGGAAAATATGAAAGAAATAATTCAAGAAAACTTTCCAGATTCTAGGAAATAATTTCCTGTATGTGAAATATTAATAAAAGCAAATGCTTAACTAGTACTTAACTAAGTGGCAGGCAATGTCTCAAGCATTTTACAGACATTAATTCATTTAATTCTCACAAGCCTGTGAGGCAGGCATGAAGATTTAACTCAGTGAGTCCCTGAACCTATGCCTCAATTAACTGCTAGTGGACTCCCAAGTCAGATCGTGGTAAAATTTCAGAAGGTGGAGAACAAAGAAAGGATCATAAAAGCCTCCAGAGAGAAAAAGACAGATTATGTACAATGGATCAATAAGACTTCTCAACAGCAATGTGAGACATTAAAAGAAAATAGAACACTGCCTTCAGAATTCAGATGAGAAATAATTTCTAGCATAGAAACCTATCTCTTGATGAATACATCAATTAAGTTGGGGGATAGAATAAAGATATTTTCAACATGCAAGGCCTAAAAAATAATTACCTCCTATGTACCCTTTATCAGGAAAATGTTGGAGGATTCTCTCCAAAGGAGGAGAGTAAACCAAACCAAAGGACTATAAGGGATTCAAGAAACAGAGGCTGTGATGCAGAGAGTGAAGGACCCCCCAGGAGGACGATGGGGAATCCCAGGGTTTCCTCTATAAACTGGGTGCAGGACAAGCAGGTCAGCCTGGAGCTGATAAGAAGGCTGTTACCAGCCTTCTCTCCAAGGAGATGAAACTCATAGAATGCCTGGCATGTCTCAATGTATCAAGAGTCCATCTAGACAGTTGACAGAGTTGTGACTGAATTATGGGAGAAAAAGGTGAAGTGATGGGGGAGAAAAGAAAAAAGGAGAAAAGGGAGGTTTTTTTTTTTTTTTTTTGAGACGGAGTCTCACTCTGTCACCCAGCCTGGAGTGCAATGGCATGATCTCGGCTCACTGCAACCTCTACCTCCCAGGTTCAAGCAATTCTCCCACCTCGGCCTCCTGAGTAGCTGAGATTACAGGCATGTGCCACCATGCTGGGCTAATTTTTTGTATTTTTAGTGGAAACGGGATTTCGCCATGTTGGCCAGGCTGGTCTCAAACTCCAGACCTCAGATGATCTGCCCACCTCAGCCTCCCAATGTGCTGGGATTACAGGCGTGATCCACTGCACTCGGCCAGGAGATCTTTTAATAGGGAAGCTAAATCATTACATTTATACCTTAGGAATTCAGTGCCGTTCAGCAGTATTTACCACCTGCCATGTGTATTGTCACTGCTATGCCTCCAATATACAGAAACAAACAAGACGCTTTCTTCCTTATATGTAACTAAAGGCAGTAATATGGAGGATTGGGCCATGGCCTGTGGGATCATTGATCCTGTAAATTTCAAAGACAAAATAAGAGGTGATATCAGACCGAAAACCCCAAGGGAAGAGAAAATAAGCCCCTACAAATGGCAGAGCACGGGGTGATGAGTAGTTGCTATATTTTCTTTCAAGGCTTTTACTTTGGATCTGCTCGCTTCAAAAAGACAAGCTGCTAAAGAAGAAAGATTCTTTCATAGGGGCTCCTTCCTGCTGTCCCCATCCCATCCAGAGTGACTTCCTGTGTAAAGGAAGTCCAGAACCCTCCAGAATGCCCTAGGAAAATGGAGTCATGTAGATGGTGTGGAAAACAATCCCTCACTACAAATGTCTGTATTGATCAGCTAATGCCTTAAAGCAAGAGATTTACCTCAAAACTGCTTGTGGGCGCAAAATAAGTGCAACTCTGTGACAGCCAGGCCTGATGAATGTACTTTTCATGACATCAATAATCATATAATCATACAAGGGAGGAAACGAAGGACAAATGGAATGTACCCAGGAATCATTCTTTATGCCAATATATTTATATAAAAAAATTTAACCTGTGGCAACCAGAAAGCACTCCCCTTAGTTCCTGCACTTTGAATTTTGAACCGTGTTACTCTGTTTTAATGTCTCCTTTCTTTTGTTTTTCTGGTACTTCTATCACGTCGAAGGTCAAAACCACCAGCAAGTGTGAGCTGCTGGTGTACAGCAAGTGTGAAGTGCAGCGAAGACTCACAGACCTCAGAGTCTGGTCCACTGGACCCAGGCCCACTGCTGGATAAAAGGTGCAGCACCCACTGGCCACTTCCATGGTTTACATCAGGCTCCAAGGCCTTGCGCCCGATCACCTGAGCACCTGTGCCAACCCTCAGGTACCTACCTAAGTCCCTTGTCCTGTCTCCTCTGTTAAACCAGGGTTCCGGGGACAGAGATGATTCCAAATTTTACAGAATGTGGAAGCACCGTAATTCTAGTTTATTCCTTCACTAGTTAAAAAGTATTAAGTTTAAATTATCGGCATAATAAGAAAAACCAACCTTCAGTTTTAAAAGTGAAGTATTTGCAGTATGTCTATGTAACACCATGAAGTGAGTGGTCAGGACAACTCTGGAAATTAATGTTTATTAACATTCTGTGGTTGATAATAGGGAACCAATGACTAAGCATTGGATACTTTGTCTTCCACAGTGAGCCCAGCACCAGCTGTCCCCAACCTACAATTCCCACTTGGGCCAAACTGGTCTGCTTGCCATTCTCAGAATCTACTTTTTGCCATCCTGGTTCTGAGTTTCTACTCAGGCCATTTTCCTTATGTGGAACTTTCACTTTGTCTATCAAAAGTTGAGTCATGTTTATAGACCCAGATCAAGTGCTCTCTACCTCATAAACGCTTTTAAAACTATATGTCATCAGAAATTGCCTCTTTCCCTTGTATATTTTTATTCTACTTATTATTGTCTGTACCACAGTGCTGGCTGTATCTCCATCTCATAGTTATTTATTTTTTATCCCATTGATTGTTCAATCAGACTGCCAGTTTCCAGAGGCCAAAGATTATGGGCCATAGGATGTGGATTCCCCCTCCCTCCATCATGCAGAATAAATACCCAACAGGTGCTCAAGAAATAATATTTCTGGCTGGGCACGGTGACCCATGCCTGTAATCCCAGCACTTAGGGAGGCTGAGGTGGGTAGATCACCTGAGGTCAGGAGTTTGACACCAGCCTAGCTAACATGGTGAAACCCTGTCTCTACTAATAATACAAAAATGAGCCAGGCATGGTAGTGGGCAACTGTAATCCCAGCTACTCAGGAGGCTGAGGCAGGAAAATTGCTTGAACCTGGAAGGTGGAGTTTGCAGTGAGCCAAGATCGTGCTACTGTACTCCAACCTGGGGAACAGAATGATACTCTGTCTCAAAAAAAAAAAAAAAAAGAAAAGAAATACTACTTCATCTGGGCATGGTGGCTCACGCCTGTAATCCCAGCACTTTGGGAGGCTGAGGCAGGTGAATCACTTGAGTCCAGGAGTTTGAGACTAGCCTTGGCAACATGGTGAAAACCCAGCTCTACCAAAAATACAAAAATTAGCCAGTCTTATAACCTAGTCTCAGAATAAATAGATATTTTTTAAAAAGAAATACTACTTGGACACATGAGTAACCTTTAGGTGCAGGGCTACTGACTTCATGTTAAATCGCCTGCTTCCTTAACATCCAGGAATTATTTATGAAGGTGAATCTGCTTTGTTGAAAATTTTAGCATTTTATAATCATCATCAGTTCTAATCAATAGAGAAAAGCTGCATCAACTTGGGCAATGGAAATAAGATGTTATATTTTAATATTTAGTGAAAATAATGGAAACAGTGAGTTTAGAGATTCATTGAACCCACATGGCTAGGCAGTACTTTTGAAAATCAGCTGACAGATGTGGACTCCAGAGACCCCACTTCTCATTCTGAGCAGTGAGTTCAGAAGCATGAGGCCAGAGGATCCTGCAGGAGACTCTGCAGCTATCAGTTCAGTTTATGCCCTACTGATGTTTGGGTTGAGAGCATCATTTCTTTATAATGAAGAATGAAAATTACTTCTAATTGCTACAATATCAACAAAGAAGATATATTCCTCAATTACTCTTGCCAGAAAATATATTACCAAAATTGAGAGAAAAAAAATGGGAAGGCTGGCTCTGTTTCCAGCAAAAACATAAACTAGCTTCTCTTGTTATACAGTCCCTTAAAAAGCTCAATTAATTATAGGAAATACCTTTTGAATGCACGATTGAGCCCTCAAGGAGACAGGGCCAAAATTCTCAAGGGCCAAAAATAAAGAGGAAGCTGAAAATGAAAGCTGGACAGTTGAAGCTATGGCCGATTAGGGGTGTTTGTCTCTTGGTTACGAAAAGGTTTGAGTTTTAAAGGCTACACGTGGAATGGCATAGAAGGTCCTGGACCCATTCAAGATGGGAGGTGGTGTCAAGGCCCACCGCATAAAGACTCAGTATTGCTGAAGGGTGCATGCCTACTGTGAAAGGGTTGATTAGGAAATCTCCCCACTAGCAATGAAAGACACCAGGGAAATTTGTCTGCCTTGCACTTTGGGGTGGGAGAAAGTGTTCACTGATAAGTTAGGACTACAGATCTCCTCTTACTGGCATGGTCCAAAAAATTCTGAACAGAGAAATTAGCTAAAAGTGACATAAAGACTGACACAGTAAAACAAACATTCTCTGGAGGAACCCATGCAAGAATCCCACAGAGAGCACTTCATTAATATAAGCTCACAATCTACAGTTACAAAACACTAGCCGGGCATGGTGGTGCACGTCGGTGGTCCCTGAGGTGGGAGGATCGCTTGAGCCTGGGAGGCAGAGGTTGCAGTGAGCTGAGACTGTGTCACTGCACTCTAGCCTGGAGTTAGACCCCCTCTCAACAATGAATGAGACCGCCTCTCAAAAATGAATGAACAAATTAATTAATATAAAATTATAAAACACATAATAAACCATCATAAATGAGAGCTGGCAGAAAAAAAACTAACAACAGAAATAGACTCCACTGACAGAGTGTAAAATAAATTATGTTTATGAACAAAAATATGAACAAGACTTTCCCTTTGGCCAAGACGAAGTAGCCCATTCTTCTCTCATTCACACTCTTACAACTAAAAATCCCCGGATATAATACAAGAAATAAACATGGAGAGACCTTGAATGGTGGAAAGATGAGGACTGGCTAGCTAGGGACCCTGGGACTTGAGGAATGGCGTGGCAGTGAGTTCTCTGAGTTTTCTCTTTACTTCCCATATATCCCAATATAATGCAGGAGAAGCCTGCAATTCAGAACTGCTAAAATACACAGATACAAACACCCTACGAGAAGCCTGTTCTCACTAGCCAAAGGACTGAGGAGAGGTGGTCTACCGGAACAGAAAACCTTTTTGATAATACCTGCCCTACTCCAGCTAAACACCGGAGGAATAACTGCCCCCTCAACCTTAGAGTGTCCATGGGACCCAGCAGGGCACTGAGTCATGGTAGTGGGAAAAGGTGTGGTTCAACAGGCTGGTACCAGATTAAAAATGCTCAAGAAAAAGAAAAGTCAAATAAATTATGGTACACACATACAATGGAGTTTTATGTGGGATTAGGCAGGTTTTCAAAGTTGTCCACAATAGATTAAATGAAGGAAAGAAAACAGGCCATAGAACAAATAAGACTTGTATCTACAGGACAACACATTTTTGTTGCTCCGTGTATGTGCTCGACACACACATACGTAAAAGAGTCTGGAGAGGCTTACATCATTTTCCAGGGTATAGTTACAGGGGACTATTCACTTTTTTAAACTTTTATTTTAGGTTCAGGGGTACATGTACAGGTTTGTTATATAGGTAAACTTATGTCATGGAGGTTTGTTGTACAGATTATTTCATCACTCAGGTACAAAGCCCAGTACCCAATAGCTATTATTTTCTGCTCCTCTCCCACCTCCCACCCTCCACCCTCAGGCAGGCCTCAGTGTCTGTTTTTCCCCTCCTTATGTCCATGAGTTCTCATCATTTAGCTCTCACTTACAAGTGAGAACATGAGGTATTTAGTTTTCTGTTCCTGTGTTAGTTTGCTATGGATGATGGCCTTCGGCTTCATCCATGTTCCCGCAAAAGACATGATCTCGTTCTTTTTATGGCTGCATAGTATTCCATGGTGTATATGTACCACATTTTCTTTATCCAGTTATCATTGATGGGCATTTAGGTTGATTCCATGTCTTTGCTATTGTGAAGACTATTCGCTTTCAAACAATAATAAAGCATATAAATTATGATTTTTATAATAAACAAGTATTACTTTTCTAAACAACCAAAAGAGTAAAAACTGTTTTTCTCTTGGGAACAAAAAAAAATTACTAGAGAAGGATATGGAAGCAAAAGATGATAAATAACTAAACCATTTTCCCCAGAAGGGTAGATACAAAGATGGTAATACTTGAGTCACAGTGGTGAAATCAGAAGTATTTTTTTCTAGTTCTCAGATTTTCTATAAATTGGTTATAATAATTTTATAATGCTTTAAATTTGGTTTGAAATGTATGATTCACATGTCAACCTACACCCTGTTAAGAAGAAAAGGTAATGCCAGAATAACCAGGTAGAAAGTTGTTTTTGTCTGATGAGATCAAACAAACAGTAAGGTGTGAACGAAGCAAGAGCAAGGTTACTGCTTAGTAACCTCCTGCTAGTCATCATGTGCCTGCCCCACTAGACTTACCAAATACCGCACAGTGTACTTCTTTCCTGGTCATATGGGTTTCACCCATAAAACACACATGGAAGATCATGGGCTTGATATTATTGCATGGGATAGTGAAGTTTTGTACATAAGTAATTCCAAGCAAAATGATTTGACCTCTAGTAGGCACAAAAATACTATTAAAGATGAAAAGCAGGCCGAGTGCAGTGGCTCACGCCTGTAAACCCAGCACTTTGGGAGGCCGAGGCAGGTGGATCACACGGTCAGGAGTTCAAGACCAGCCTGGCCACGATGGTGAAAACCTGCCTTTACTAAAAATACAAAAAATTAGCTGGGCATGGTGGTGGGCACCTGTAATCCCAGCTACTTGGGAGGCTGAGGAAGAGAATTGCTTGAATCCAGGAAGCAGAGATTACAGTGAGCTGAGATCATGGCACTCCAACCTGGGGGACAGAGCAAAACTCCGTCTCCAAAAAAAAACAAAAAACAAAAAACAAAAAAAACCTACAGGCACGACTGAATGCAATTGCAATGAAAAATGCATTCATCAGATCAAGGTGAAGTAATATAAACTAATGTCTTCCAAAAGGTTTTCAGATGGAACCACTGGTCTTATGAGA